AGCTTTCGTGGACTACAGCCCACTTCTTCGGATGCAGTGGGCTGTAGTCCACGAAAGCTTATGCTCTAATAAATTTGTTAGTCTCTAAGGTGCCACAAGTACTCCTGTTCTTCTTCTTTGTACAAAGAATGAACATTTTATTACGTGGAAGATTTCAAGATTCTAAATCTTGTTTTCATGCCAATTCAAAATGAAACCCAAACATTGTGAAATTCTCCACAAAAGAAAATTCCAGAAAAACATTCATTTTGGATTGATCGAAACATTTTGTTCAAATAAAATCAAAACAATTCATTTTTGATTTTCTTATTTTATAAAACACAACCAAGTAATAAAATCTGAAATGAAAAGTCAAAAAGGAAATAAAAAACGTTTGTTCTGACAATGTCAAAATGGATCTAATTTGTAGGTGGTAGCTTGGATTTTTTTTTCCCCAGAAAAGAAAGTGTTTTTGATTTCAACCAAACTGCATTTTTGAGTGGAAAACTATTCCATCAAATTTTTACTGACCAGCTTTAACAGTGAGGTTTCCACTTGCCAGGTCTGTAGATCCTGCATGTGGGGGTTTCCTGATTTCAACACACAGCTGTGTAAGGTTGTGTGTGTAAGTACAATGGGGAGGGATAAACACTGAGCAGAGATGATGGATAAAATTAAAAGGGTAGACTAAAGACTCATGGTTTCGTTTAAATAAACTGACAATCTGAAATCACTGCTGTGGAAAGAAAGAATACAGTTCAAAGTGTAGACGAGTGAGAGTTGACAGTGCCTAGAACAGTGGTTCTCAAACTTGGGCCGCCGCTTGTTCAGGGAGTGGCGAACCACGGCCAGTGGGAGCCACGATCGGCTGAACCTGCGGACACGGCAGGTAAACAAACCAGCCCGGCCTGCCAGAGGCTTTCCCTGAACAAGCGACGGCCCAAGTTTGAGAACCACTGGCCTAGAAGAACATACACTATTTTGATTTTTTTTTCAGTGTCTGATGGTATTCTATTTATCTTAGGGTTTCTTATCATGCCCATCACTGGAGTATCTAAGCACTTTTGAGATACAGTATTTTAGATAATGAGGTTCTTAATAGACTCCAGGTAGTCTTCTGCTCTTCCTCATTCTGAGCTATAGGAGTCGTTGCTTGTGGTGTGTCTCTATCCTCTATGAGTGTTATATATATATATTGCTATAAATCATCCCAGTTATGGTGGGAAAGCTTTATTAAATAGGAGAGTCTTACAGCACACCTTGAAGATGATCTAGCTCCACATTGGACTAATCTCCTCTGGAAGCTCATTCCATAGCAGAACCCCTTTGACTCAAAATGCTTTTGTGACTTTGTCTATTTAAAATATAACCATGCAAATCATTATCGCTCCCACTGTTATATATTTGCAATGGGGGGAGGGATAGCTCAGTGGTTTTGAGCATTGGCCTGCTAAACCCAGGGTTGTGAGTTCAATCCTTGAGGGGGCCACTTAGGGATCTGGGGCAAAATCAGTACTTGGTCCTGCTAGTGAAGGCAGGGGGCTGGACTTGATGACCTTTCAAGGTCCCTTCCAGTCCTAGGAGATAGGATATCTCCATTAATTTATTTATTTAATTTATTTATAATGAATCTTATACAAAGTATAACCCTTTCTGGCATGTATTAAACAGCTTGCAGGCTGAATGACCCAAAGCCAACCTTTAAAGTCATGTTAGAAAGGTATGTGAATGGTAATTAGGGCCAGTCAATGTTAGATTGGCTAGAACTTTGAAATGCAAACCTATATTGTTAGAACTTAGAAGTGTACTAATTGTCTGAGTGTACTCATAAATGATCGACATATAAACAGACAGTTCCTCTCTGTAACTATAACTATTAATTCAGAGATCAAAAGGGAATATTAACATTTAGCTGAATCTTGGGTGAAATAATGTCATTGTCTATATGCCTCTTTGAAGTTTGTGATAGACTGCCTAATGGATAAATTGCCCTATGTTAATTTGTGTAATTAATTACTGGTGGTGCTCAGGAAACAGAAGGTTACATCAAAAGCCTACTGTTTACCCAGGACTGTACGGCTGCTAGAAAATGGTATAAAAGAGCCTGGATCCTGATCCTGTCACCTCAAATATGCTTAAGCTTCATCAGGGGAAGTTTGAGTCACAAGATTGAGATCCAAGTTAAGCTGGAACACCCTAATATGATATTGGACATTGGACTATAACCTATGGACTAAATTCTAAAAACTCTTTGCAACTACAAAGCTCACCATCTCTGCTATAAGAAGAACAGGAGGACTTGTGGCACCTTAGAGACTAACAAATTTATTAGAGCACTTTAACCTGTCTGGTCATTCATCTCTGCTATGAATCTGAACCTCAAGAATTGAACTCATGTCTGTATGTATATTGATCTTTTAACCATACTCTCTCTCTCTTTTCTTTTTAAATAAATTTTAGTTTAGTTAATAAGAATTGGCTGTAAGCGTGTATTTGGGTAAGACCTGGAATATTCATTAACCTGGGAGGTAATGTGTCCGATCCTTTGGGATTGGTAGAACCTTTTCTTTTATATGATTAATAAGATTTTCATTAATCCTCATCATATCTGATTTGGGTGACTAGATATAGGCCTGAGGCTGCGTTACTTTAAGGGAACTGTGTTATTGATTTCTGAGTAACCAGTGAGGTATACCAGAAGCTGTTTTGTGTTGGCTTGGTAAATCTAAGTATTGGAATATCCACTAGCTTTGGGTATTGCCTGCCCCGTGCTTTGCAGTTCACCCTAATTGAGTGACCTCAGCAGGCTCCCCTGGGATCCCAGTCACAGCTTTGTTTCTCAGCTCAAAAGCATTTGATCCTGTGCTTTATAAAGCTAATTGTCCCAGAGGACTGCATCTGTTTTGACAGGTTGTGGATTGAACTGATGGAGCTGGATCTTGACCTGTTGATGGCTTTGCAGATAAAGACCAAGGCCTTCAACTGATAATGGAAGTGGGGCTGGAGCAAGTGGAGGGATTTGAGCACAGGGATGATGTGATCACAGCAGCCAGTCCTGCTGAGGAGGTATCAGATTTTTTTTTAAAAGAATTAGACAGATTATTCCATTTTTTAGGAAGACTGATACGTTTGCTTCTCAGAGGGAGGCACTGATCATTTCTGTTAGCAGTGGACACTGTCATTTTCTGGCTTTCACTAGCCAGTAGGGAAACATCTAATTTGTAGGTGGTAGTTTGGATATTCCTCATTCATATAGTGTAGAGAAATGTAAGAAATTTCTTCTTGACAAAATGGTTACATTTTCCAACAAAGTAATTTGAAGCAGAACAAAATAAAGTGTAGAGTTCTGCTGGAATCTCACTTTATTTTTTTAACATCAATGATTCCTTACATCGATACATGATAAAACAGAATGTACTAAACAAGGCTGTACTGTTAAAGGATGCATTAGCAGCCTTTTGATTTTGTACCAAGAAAAACTTGACCAAAATATAAATCTGTAGATTATGGGTAACATTACATTGGGAACAATGGGTTGCAAGCAGTCAGCAAATATCAGCACAGAAGCTGGAACGTACTGTACCAGTTATCAGAGGATGAAGCAAGCACAGCACCTTTTTATACTTCACGGCTCAGTTCCAGTACACTAAGAATTCCTAACTTGCTACTATTTCTTGGGGATTTTGCATTCTGTCACATCCCTTGGCCTTGACATGGGTTGGGTTACAAACAAGGGATAGTTCTGTCCTGTATATAGACAGTTTGTGTAACAATTCTCTTTACAGTAATGCACAGAAAAAATATGTGGTCTAATCTCTTCTTGAGCTGAGTGGTGTATGCAAGCAATGTCCATAACCGTTAGTGGGAGTAATACAAATATGTTCTTCCTGCATCTGGTAGAGAAAAGAACATGTAGTTTTCTGTAGATTAAAACAGAGATTCTGTTGCACACAGTGGCCATGAGAAGGTCATGACCTCAGCACTGCTCCCAGTGTGGCCACTAACTTTATGGTGATGATTTCTGTCTTTTCTACACCTATTCAAGAGCTGTATTTTTAAGACTAATTTTTAAGGCTCTAAATAATTAAATCATCTTCTTACCTCTTTGCCCTCTTCCTCCTACTGGCTCACAACACTCCTCCAAGTCCTATCCCCCTTTCCCACTCTTGATTTTGTGCTTTCATTCCTGCCACTCTTTGTGCTTGGATAAGTCTCCCACTTTCCATCTGCCAAGTGCCTTATGTATTCCTTCTTCAAATCCCCTTCTTCCTACTTCCTTTCTAATAATCTCTCCACTCCTTTTCCTATCTGAAGCCTTAGCTTCTTGGGGTCGGCAACATGTCTTACTCTGTGACGGTAAAGCCCTGTGTGAATAACTGGTGTAATCAATTAGCAGCAGCAGTAGTAATTAATATTCATATTGTTGCTCCTTTTTTGACCCGAGCAGCTCAGCAAAGTTCAGGGCTCTGGAGATGTTCCTGCTGGAAGCAGAAATTGATGGAGTCTGGTATTTTCTTTGATGCAATCTTGTTTATTTAAAAGTATTGTGTCTCTGAGTGCATAGGTCACCAAGAACAAAAAAAGCAGTTTCTTAACTTACAGCCTCAAGCCTCTGTAGCCAACACTCGACTTAAAACATCTCACTTTAGCTTTTTCTAGGGTGTCACAGCGCTTACTGGCCATTGTTTGGCTTTCTTCCTGTTTACTTCTGTCTCCTGCCTTCTCTGTTCTTGTCTATTCTCTATTTCTGGGTTCTGCCTGCCTTCCCCCCTGCTGCCGAAAACAAACAACCTCCCCCCCAATATTCAGCAAAAACCCTTGCAGCCACACAATCCAAAACTCCTGGGTGGACTTTAACAGGTCTTGTTGTAGGAACTTTGTGGGGAGCGCACACATGTGAGTCCAATTATCCCCCAGTGGGTGCTGCAGGGGGGTGTCTTGCTCGTGGGCCAACACTCAACCCTCCAGCTGAGGCCTCTTGGCCCTTTCTTCTGCTCTCAAGGTCCCAGATAAAACAACAAAACAGCCCCCAGTCAGCAATCAATGTTAGGTGATGGTATGAAGGAAAAGAAAGGAAAAAAACCTAGTAGGCAGTTTTCGTCAGGATCAGGGCCTCTCTTACTTCTCAGGGCCCTGGGAGTATCACAGTCCACTTCAGAGTTCACTGGGTCTCCAGTGCAAGTTTCAGTCTTTTCCCCCTTTTAGCTTAGGGGAGTCACACCCTCCTTCTACAAGGGCAGGGCCTCTGCAGGCTACCAGTCTTCTCTTCAGGGCTGGAAAAGCTCAACAGCCTGTTCCTTTCCTTAACTATCTCACAATTATTTTTGTAAGTGAAAGGTGTATGCACACATCAATTTCAATGAGGTTTTATATTCATCTACAAGGTTTATCCCAGCTCATTACACTATGTCGTCATTCAGTTAGGTTGTGGTAAATACCTCAGTATAGTTTGTAGTACAAATGTTATGAGAAAGAATAGTAACTCTGGAGTAATTCACATTAATTCTTTGGGTTACATCCTGGTCTTGTGTCTGTTCATCCCTCTCTGTGCCCACTTACCTCACACTAGTGTCAATATTTGCTTCTCTTCACACATGCACAACTAGTGATTTGCTCAGGGAACTGGTTATCAGGACTCTTGATTCTTCCACTGACTCACTGTTTGATTTTGGGCAGATCACTTAAGGCTCTCTGAGCCTCATTTCCCCGTCTATAAAACAGATAATACCTGCCTACCTAGTCACAAGAGTCTTCTGAGGCTTAATCAATGGTTTTAAAGCACTTTGATCCTTGCATGGAAGGTGATATTCTAAGTGATTCAGAAACAGTATTACAGGGAAGACTAGGCTCCTTTTGTGCCTCTCTCTATCACATGGCTATATACACATTGATATTTGTACTGTAAAATTAATTTTAAAAAGGGAGGTTACTGCAAGTGTTAGTTACTCTCTAATAAACTCACCATTTTTTTCTACTGGTACATGGCAACTAGGACATGGTTTGGTTGTTTTCTTGATTGTTTCTCTGGATGCCTCTTCCCATCGTGCTTGCATGGCTGCATGCTCATCAATCACATATCCCTGCAAAAACAGAAGCAACTGTGAGAACAATATAGCCAGTGAATCAAGATCTGTATTACGGTTGGGGCTATTTACTAGAGTGATACAGACAGGAGGGTCTGAAATCCAAATCCAAAACTGAAGTCTGCTGGAATCCTGCCCCTGCTGCCTCACAATTTAACCCATTTTGGTATGACAGAGAAAAATATTAAGATGGTGGAAAACTGTTGTGTCATGTACAGTACAGTTGCAGGATGGAGATAGCTCAGTCCCTATACAGGAAGCTATTTGCCTCTGCTTTGCAAAATGAAGCATGTTCCTTTGTTTTTGAGTTCTAGATTTTATTCACATACATTATATTTCTGGTTACATGCACAAGCTACCCTAACAAAGGTTAGAGAACAGGCACAAGAATACTGGAGAGGAAATAATAAGAAACTGATGAAGAATAAAGACAGAAAAGATTCCTCCAAATAGTACAGTGTTGATATCAAGAGTCACCATGGAGCATGCATTAAAAGTGACTCCCGTGTTTGTCCTATTTCTGATTGATATAAAATTACCTAATCTACACAGGGGCCCTATTTGAGAATGCCTTAGCTATCTCTGACCTAAAATCATGATACAAGAACAAAACGGGTGGTAATATCAATAAATAACTTCTATAGTTCAAGGTTTGGAAAATAGATAGCTGATCTCCTTTGAAATATTACTGTGTAAAAACATTAAATCACCTACAGTTTCTGGCTTAAGTGAAGTATGATTCTCATTAATTGTGTAACCAGAGACTGAGAAGGTTCTCTTGGAGGGTGCACTGGATGCAGGGATGGAATGCACAGACCGTGCAACTCGACTGAGCAGAGGAAAGTTGTACTTGTGTTGTCTCCACTACTCCAACAGTTGCACATCTTCATTCTTTGTCAGCTTCAGGGTGATATACTTTGACACTTCATCATTGTCACTTTCACACTCGCTAGCCAAATCCTCAAACTCTGTATATGATCATTTTGTCTCCTCTGGCAATGGTGTCTGTGTACCTGACGAAACCAGCATAACATTTTTCTCCTGAAATGAGACAAGCTTCTTGGTCTCTTGATAAACTTCCTGTCTCTCCTCTCCAGTGAAAACTTTCATTCCCCACATTTGTGGGTGCAGGAAAACTGCTACTCTGTGCATAGGCTTGATTTCAAACTTTTCGATGAGACATTGCAAGGCTTTGGATTTGAGCTGACTTAGACTATCTTCATCAGTGGTAGAAGTATGTAAATGCTTTTTCATCCTTTCGTGATGAGTGGGCTATCATGACTGCTCTAGTGCATCTGATGCTAACTCTGTTAAGATGCTCAAGATGTTGCGATCAAAGCTATCAATGAGCTTAGTATCCCCCTTTTCTGTCAAAATTTCATATACTCTGTCTCACTGCTCCTCGATTGTCTTAAATGTGAGTAGTTTGCTGTTCCATTATGTTTCTACATTTATTTTCAGAGACTTCTGTAGTCCGCTTTGAAGTCCAAATCTCCTGACATACATAATGAGATATTAGCTTGTGTGGATAAGTTTGGTTACTGCTTCCTCTTTCTGGTTTCCCGGTTTGGTAGTGTGCTCAAGCACAATATTTATAATGTGCACTGAGCAGCTTATTCACACATAGGACTTGAAAGCTGCAACCATGTTCGCTCCCTGGTCCATAACGGAAACCCTCTGGTTGGTAATGCCGCGTAGAGCAAATCTTCGGAGTGCCTGAATCACAGCCGATCAACTGTTCTCTGCAGTTTTTGGTTTCCCGCTGTCAAACTGAGTCACACAAAGCACCCACTCCACTGAACTGTTGTGACTCTATGTAATGAACAGTTACTCCCAAACAGGCAACATTTCTGTAATCATCCATCCACAGATCAAGGGCAACCCCTCCACCCAATGTGCCAAGAATGTTTTTCAGCTCCATGGAGATTCGTTTTCTTTTTTCCTTCTGCCACAAGTGCAGCATGCCGGGCTACAGTTGTGGAATGTGGTATTAACGCACCTGCATCCATTTGACCAATCAAATATTAAGCATATGCAAGGAAGCCCTCGCCTGTTGAATGGTGAATTGTTACCTCTTAGACTCCATGGACTTTCAGAATGCTCAGTGATTCAAAAGGGGGTTGCTGGTGCCCAGCACAGATGCACAGAGGATGTGCAAAGAACAACACCAGAATAGACAGGGATGGGCGGAGCCTTGTTTGTGTCCTAAGCAACATCTTACAGGAAGGCGTCAGATACAGCGCACTTCTAAAATGACTGCTATACAACTGTACATTAGTAGCTTCTCAGAAACAAACAAGCAGTTATTGTAAATAGTGAAGAAAATGTAATATTAGTCCTGCATCTGTCTACTCTTTACAGTAGAATGACCTAGGACAGCAGTCTGAACTGCCTCTGAGAGAGGTTTCAGCACATGACTAGGAACACCTGAGTCTTAATCTGGCTCTCATACTGACTCCCTTAGTGGGTAAAGGAAAGTCACATAACCTCCCTGCTTCCATTTGCTGACCTGTAAAATGAGAATCACAGTATTTACTTCACAGAGTATAGTGAGAGTTAATTACCTACTGACTGTAGAGACAAAGATGAAAAACACAGTATAAGTAAGTACTATTATTGTTTATTGTGTGTGTAGACTAATATCTGCAAGAGAGAAACAGGTGTAATTTTTGGATTCAATCCAACAAAACTTGAATGGCAATATTTTACCTAAATTGAGCTAATTCAAAATTATACGATTGAATGCTTGGAAGCGTTCTTTTCCCACATCTCAGTTTTCTTTGTTGTGACCTTGTAATACCAGGCGCTGCGCCAAAATCTCACATGCCAAATTGTTAACTTGATTTGTGTCATCTTGATTTTGAAAACAAATTTGAATTTGGGAGAGGATCAGTTTACAAGTAATTTAAAAAAACTCAATAACTTTCAAGTATGAATTTGCATACCATTCAATAAAACAAACCAAACTGACTTTTTAAAAGTCTAAATGATTACACTGGTGTTTTTCCACTGCAAAGAGTCTATTATGAAATTGATGCAACAGAATAATATTTTCAGTCTATTAGAGCTTTAGACACCCTCCCTACCCTTCTCTGACTGCAAAGTTAAAAATCACTTGTTACAGGAAATAAATGTGAAGAAATGGTCCACAGTGACCCTGTTCTTCCTGAATCAGTAAAGACATCATATCATCCAAATGAGTCAGCCTCAAGCATCCAGATTCTTTACACATAGTTGTCTGGGTACAATGCTAGAATACATATATATTTTCATCTAGTTTATTCCACAAGAGGAACAATAGAAAAATAAAGACTATTTCCATGGCATTGGGGATATCTGTAAACTACCAAGGACTGACTCCATCTTCTCTAAGTGCCCCAGCAGAGAATAAGGAGCATTTTTCACAGTGTAAACATGCAGATAGAATATGATGTCTGGAATACTACTGAGCAGAAAAAGACCTGGGAACTCCCTGAAAGGGCTAATGCAATCCTTAGATGCATAAACAGGGGATCCAGGCAAAATGTCAATGGAATGTGAAGAGTGACTTTTGATGCTACAAAATAACCTTCATAAATGGCTTCATATTTTTACAGAACCCTGTGGAAGCCCTACAGAGCATCTACAGTCACGGCTTAGGAGTTGCCAGTGTACTGCAGAACACTGTGCCCAAAAGGAAAATTATCCTAATGGAAGATCAGATTGTTTTGAGATTCACTGGACAGAAAGGGGCAGGGAAAGGAGTCAAGATGGTAGCAAAATAGGTCTGAAAGAAGCAGTTCAGTGGTAGAAGTAGAGGTGAGGGGGAGAGAAGTGAGCTTTTTGTTTCTGTTTTATATCATTAAAACTCCCCTGTGGTATTGCAGTCTCATGTACTATAAAAACTGTTGAGGGCTTCTGAAGGCAATATAAGTAAATAATACTGTGAAATAGCCTGATAACACACACACTGGAGTTAACATTTCTGCTATTCTGTGACTTACTTGTCTCCATCCCAATAGCATTCTTACATACATTTGATTTGTCCATTATCACATACTCTGGTCTTTTAATTTCAGTTTGTGTGACCAGACTGAGCCAAAAGAGAGAAAAATCATAAAGAATACTGCAAAATTACTGGATTTTCCTTCCTCCTCCTTCTCTAGGACCATCCATTGCCAACAGATGAATGCCCCTTTTTTATCAGTTTCAAAATTGACTTCAGTGGTACTAGTGAACAGCAGAAAAACTCTGAAGAAGTTCCTTGCCTTATGGGTCTTTGAATGGTGTTAAATGCTGCAGCTTCCTGACACTCATATAGGTTTTACTGAGAAAGAGTGAGATCAAGAGAGCATGTGCCCAGGCACCAAATCCCTGTTCTCCTAGTACACCCAGAAGGTATGCTTAATTAGAACAGCGTCTTCTCTGAAACAAAGAATTTGTGGGGAAGATCTAAAGCTGCTGTAAATCAGAATAGCTCCACTGAAATCAACAAAGTTCCACTGAGTTACACCAGCTGAGGATCTGACCCAGAAAGCCCAAGCTGCCTTAGAGATGCAGTATGGTATTATATGGCTAACTCTACTGAGACAGATGCAGATATATTTGCCCAGGACGCCCAGAGGAGCTCTGAGCCCCACTGTGAGAGGAAGTGTGGGGAAGCTTAGCTTCCCCCCCTCACCCCAGTCTCCATTACCCACTGGTCAAGCAGGTGCTTGGGGTGGCCACTCCGGAGAGGGGCGGCACGTCCAGCTATTGGGCGGTAATTCGGTGGCGATCCCTCACTCCGGCTTGGAGCGTAGGACCTCCCGCCGAATTGCCGCCACAGATCGCGATTGCGGCTTTTTTTTTGGCTGCTTGGGGCGGCCAAAACCCTGGAGCCGGCCCTGCCCACTACCCATGTCTAAAATGCTATTTGCAATGTTTTTCAGCATAGAAATCGAGCCAGGAACTAAGCTAGCATGAGAATGAGCCGATCTGAGAGGTCAACAACATATACATGTTCCTCCTGATGATTC